TTAAGAATTATAGCATCTACTAAAAGGATGCTTAAGGGAGTGGGAGAAGTGGGTGAGAAGCCAACTTGCACGGTCTTGGTAAACTCTATTTTCTTTTCATGTTTTGTATACTTGAAGATCTTTAGGAAACCTGTCTGTGACCCATATGAGCTCTAGTTTTATTTTCTGTATATTGTGCCATATTTCAGAAATAGAGGATCTTCTTGGAGCCACTAATAGCTATGGCTTTAAGAAGTAAAGATTGTTCTCTCTCTCTCTCTCTCTCTCTCTCTCTCTCTCTCTCTCTCTCTCTCTCTCTCTCTCCTCTCTCTATCAACTGGGAATGGTAAGCATTCTACCATTTGGCCACAGCCTTCAGTCCTATTGTAACTGAGGGGTGTGTGAAAAGTGCTTATAACAAATGAGCCTGGTATCCTGTTCCCAGTCAGGTCTGCATGCTTCAGTTAAATGTTCCAGCCTCTGTGCTCACACCTGTGAATGGAGGAGAAAATCTGAATGCTATAATTGAGAACAAAAGATAAGCTTTGCTCCTATGGAGATTTTTATCTTATGTGTTCAAAGATCACAATGTCCACTAAGGTTGCTGATGAGCGTAGCTGTCAGTGTATGATTTCTTCCTCTAGATAGCTATCCTGCAGAAGAATCCAGTTGTTTATACAACAGGCTTTGCTAAAGTGTCTGTGTCACTCTGATTAGCTGAGAGCAACTTTATACAATGGAGCAGTTATATTTTCTGTGGTATATTTATAGCATAAAATTTTTTGTTTAAAAAATTTACTTATTTTTATTTTATGTATATGTGTATTGCCTGCATGTGTGTAAGTGCGCCCATGTCATGCAACGCCCATGGAGATCAGAAGAGGGCATTGAATCCCCTGGAACTGGAGTTATGGACAGTTTGAACCTGGGTCCTCTGCAAGAGCAGCTGGTGCTCTTAACTGCTGAGCCATCTTTCCAGTTCCCCCATTGTATGAACTTTTACACAATAACTATAAAAAGGTAGTAGAGGTATGTGTTTATATATAAAAGACAACTTAAGGGATCTTGCTAAATGAAAAGGCAAGTTTCACAAAAATGTAAAGATCACAATTCAGTCTCTGACATAGCAGCATGGAAACTTGGATGCTGTGGAGACACAGACTGAAGGGCTTGAAAATGTCTTTCATGCTAACCAATGTACTGATAATTTAAAAACCATCTCATTTAACTCTCAATATGTACTCTTGTTATTCATATTGGTGATGAGGAAACTGAGGCACAGAAGTTAAATAACATGCCAATAGGTTATAATAGAAATCTATGATGCATATATTGGAGAAGGGCAAGATGGCGATACAGAGGACTGAAAATAAGATTTTAAAAAAATGTAACACAAACAACAAACAGGACTCAGAGATCTGGAGGCTAGAAAATCCAACAGGAAGGACTAGCAGACTCGGTGTCCAGGGAGGCTCCGCTCTCTGCTTATGGACAGCTGCTTTCTAATGTGTGCTCAGTGGTATTTCCTGGGTGCACATGTGTGAAGAGAGAGAGAGGGGGGGAGGGAGGGAGGGAGAGAGAGAGAGCGCTCTGGTCTCCTCCATTTCAGAGGATACCAATCCCATCCTGGAAGTTCTATTCTTATAACCTCATCTAAACCTGATCATCCCCAAAGTACCTCATTCCAAATGCCATCACGGTGGAGATTAGGCCTTCAACACACAGTTTTGGAGATGGACACATAACTTAGTGTATATCCAAGCATTTGCTAAACTCAACTTCCCATTTGAGTAAGAAAAAATAAAAATGGAAAGAAAAAGGTAAAATAAGCAACTATTGTTTCTTTTGAGTCCTCATGAGCTTCACAATGCTCTGCCTTCCACCCTTCACGACACTAACCTATAACGTGGTCTTGAGACTCTGCTGAGGCTTGTGTTCCTGTCTTCCCAGCCTTTACTTCTTCAGACAACATGGCTCTTTGGAGGTGAGAAGGTCAGGCTCAGCTAACAGCCACAGGATGGATGCAGGCATCATGTGGATCCCTCAGGTTCTGACTGTAAGAAAGGTGGTGAGGGGTACGGAGGAGTCAAAATCAGGAAATAATGTCGTATTTCCAGGGAGATTCACAGAGACTCCCTTAAGTCTCCACTGTTTACTTGGCTAGGTCCCAAGTAGTTCCCACATTCCTCTTTATGACCATTTCCCTAACAAAGCTGCTCCCTCCATGCCACCACCCCACATACTCATCAAGGCTGTTGTTGGTTCTATGCCTATAATTCATCAGTGAGCTTATGAATTATTTGTGCTACTGGTTGACATCTTCAATATGTTTGGTGTACACACAAGCTTTTCTAAGGCACTCGGAACACTTTCTGTCCATACAAGATTGATCTGGAGGAAACTGTGTTCAAGTTTTCTCTTGCACAGCCAGAGAACCATTCAGTCAGACTAAAGTTTTTCCTCTATGCCTGTATTAGTTAGCTTTCTATTGCTATGATAAAAATACTAACCAAAACCAACTTGGGGAGGAAAGGGTTTACTTTATCTTATGTTCCTCAGGTAATGGTATGTCACTGAGGGAAGTCAGGGCAGGAACTCAAGGTAGGAGCCTAGAGCACAGACCTTGGAGGAGTGCTGCTTACTGGCTTGCTCCTCCGGCATGTGCTCAGCCTGATTTTTATATAGCTCAGGACCACCTGCCTGGGGGTAGCACCACCTACAGTGGGTCTGGGCCCTCTCACATCACTTAATAATCAAGAAAATGCCCCACAGACATGGCCACAGGCCAGTCCAATGGGGAAAATTCCACAGTTGGGTCTGCCTACTAAGGTGTGTCAAGTGGACAACGGAAGCTATCCAGCACAATGTCCATTTCCAACTGGAGTCCAAAGACAAAGCCCACGAATTATGGGGTCTCTTCCTAGCAATGTGTCCCTGTCTCTTGGGTACTCCGGCCTGAAGTTTCTAGAGAATTGCCTGCTCAGTATTTGACTTTCTTTTCATTAATTCTTCAGGAAGAGGAACATACAGATTTTCTCCTAATACGTGACTCTGGGTCTAAGTTTCCCAATTGGACATGCAGATTATGTTACCTGCTCTTCTATAGATACCCATAAAATACCTTTCTGATGATTAAATTAAGAAAATGGAAAATTTCCTGAAATGTGCTTGCTTATCTGTTTAAAAGTTTTAAAAGCATGACTGATGCATTCTTTATTAGACATTTAGCCCTGGTTGGAATAAAATATGGAAAACCACATATAAATATCTCATTAAGGTAAAATATTTTGTCCTTCACCAGATGTATCCTCATATATTGAATATTTTTAAAATGTGACTGTACAAATATATTCCTCTCCAAAGTTAAAGTTCTAAGTTGTAATGTTTTCATCCAGAAAACATGAGAGGTAATTTTTGACTGTAGCAGAGACATAGACATTCATTTTGATTATTTTAATCTTTTCTAAGGGTTACTGCTTCTGAAAGAAGATAGAAATCATGTCATTAAAACTCTCCGTGACATCCATTAGGTTAACCATAATTGGGAGAAAATGAAGACAAGTATTAATCAGAGTGTGTAGAAATAGGAGTCATATGTTTCTGGTATCTTTTGTCTCAGTCCTTCTTGAGAAAGTCATTCTGGTACATGATTCCTGTTGACCATTCACCCAGAACAGGATGGGACTGTTTCATTGGCTTTGGCTCCCTTGTTACTGATGAAAACTGGGATGCTGAATCAAAAGCTAAACTGTTGAACTTTGGGCAATGTCTGTCTCCATTTTTGGTCAATAGTTCCTGCACCTTATTTATTTGTATCTGTCAACCTAAAAGGAATAACCTCCCCACACAAAACAATATGGAGACTCTCTTCAAAGAATAATATCCCTTATTTGAGAAGAACAAAGTATTTTACTGCCATGGGAAACCATACAGGAGTCAAGGAGTTGCAGGGAAAGAGGATCTTTGTAAAAGTCAAAGGGAGAATTTTATATAAGCTACTTGGACTCCAAGTATCCACTGAGCTTGGAGCCTCCTGGCAGGAGTCCCACCAGCTCACTGGAGGAGATATCACTCCTGGCATCACGTTCTGGTGAGCAAATCATTTTTGAAAATTGGCAATTGTAAAGAATGTTAAAGTAACCTTTGCTACAAAAAATCTATGCATACCTGGGAAGCAGGCAGAGCATGTGGTATAATGAGAAGTGATCTCTTTAGGGTTTTGAGAAATTCCTTAAACAAGTAGACACAAGCTCTCCCCGTTTGTAGCCTCTGATTCTAATTTTGCCTGAATCTGAACAGAGTAGTTTCATCTTGCTACCATCAATTTTCACAATTTAAAGAATGCTTGTTAAACAAATGGCTTCAATGCAGATGTAAAGTAGATACCTGACAATGAGGTTATTTAACTTCTTAATTTATGGAAGAACCAATAAAATATTACTGCCAGTACAAAAGCAAATTAACATACACACACAGGCAAACAAAGAGAGCTGGAATGAATTTTCAAAAAGATGTGGAAAGTCTAAACAAGGTCACTTATGACTTTATAATTCTGGGTACCATTAATTTGCATTCTAAAAATATTTATTTATTTTAGTGTGTGTGTGTGTGTGTGTGTGTGTGTGTGTGCCTGAGTGGATGTATGTATACCATATGCATGCAGGAAGCCATGGAGGTCAGAAGAGGGTCTCAGATTCCCTGGGGCTGAAGTTATAGGCAGTTGTGAGCTACCACATGAGTGCTGAGAACCGAATGTGGATCTTCCACAAGTGCTCTTTCACGTCTGCTGTAAGCACTCTGAACCACTGAGCCATCTCACCAGCCCCGGTAATTTGCATTCTGTGAGTAAAATCATTACTGGTTTTCTGATTTTGCAACTTAATAGAAATCTGAAATAACTAAAATGGATGCAATTTGGAGATAACTAAGATGTGTTCATTAGATAAAACTCTAGGAATTTTTATTTTTGCCTATTTAAATTATTTTCACAAAATTTCCCTATATTTATCTCTCTGTTTTAGTGTGTTGTGCAGTGTAATGCATCTCAGAAGCGGCTGGATGGCTGAGGAGACAGAACAATGTGCAAGTCTGAATTTACATTGTTAATAAAAATGGTTAAAGACTTGGAAAATCAGAAATAGAAAATCAAGCAAAAAGAAAGCGCAGCACGTAGGTGTCCTTTCAGTGGAATGTCATCGTGGCTCCCTGGACTGGGTCCTCCTTCAGAATCGTTCGACTTTATAAGGATGTGCACCTTTGACTCCGTCACATACAGTCCTATGAAGAAGCTGACATGGAGAAGGAAAACGAGCCCTATCCCACGAGGCCCTCACTCTTGTTCAGCACTATTCAAATCTTAAATCAGTCTCATTTGAACCAGTTTGAACATCTTACTGTTTCTAGTTAATGAGTGAAATGAAAATCTGTGACACATATTCATTTTATATTTATATGAAAGTTATGATTCTCCTCCTTTGAAAACTATGCCTTAATGATATTTCTAAGCAAACAGTGTAGGGTTGTAGGGTTGTAGGGTTGTAAACACACTCCCATACTAGGAAGCTCACTCAACATCTCATAAAAACAGACACTACAGAAGGCTTAGTCCAGAGTGTCCAGTGTTGCTTCCAGATGCAACTCTGAGAGAAACTGGGAGAACCTGCAGCTTCTAATTTCTGTTGTCCTTTCTTCTTCAGCTATGAGTTAGCATCATCCTTAAACAGGAATGACCTGCCCAGGTCATGCAAACTCCTGCCACTCCTGAGATGCCTCTGTTATTCCTGCAGTTCCTGCTCAGTGGACAGTGAGGGCAAGGAGGGTTTTAAAGAAGAGTCACTACTCTTGATGTCTCAGCTCTTGGGAGCCTGCTCCTGATCAGAACTTTTGGAAGTAAGTTAGCATACTGGAAAGGGCTGTTTGTGAGATCTAAAGTACAGTAAGTTGGATGTTCAGGACTCTGCCTTCTTAAGGAAGCCATCAATAACTATATATCCTGGGCAATCTATTCCTGCATTCTGTTCATATTCCCATCTAGAGACTTGTAATTGTGGACATCAGTCTTTATGCCCTACCTTACCAATTCAGATTGGCATTCCCCATGAGCACAAAGTCCTTGGACAAATGTCTGTTCATATATCATTTAAGTACTTTCATGTTTTAGTTTTAAAATTTTATTAATTTTTCATGTGTATGAGGGTTTTGCCTGAATGTATGTAAGGGCATCAGATCCCCTGGAACTGGAGTTATAGATGATTGTTAGCCACCAGGTGGGTGCTGGGAACTGAACTCAGGTCCTCTACAAGAACAATCAGTGCTCTTAACAACTGACCACTCTCCAGCCCTCAAGTACTTTCATGTTTTAAGTATGTGCTTGTCAAAGTCTATAATCATTAGTGGGAGATTTCTGATTCCATTTTAGAATCTCATTAACATTTCTCTCATTGTAGTAGCCAGTATTCTTAACTGCTGAGCCATTTCTCCAGTCATTAAAACATGTTTTAATGAAGAAAATTTTAGGATGAGATTTTCCCATAGTGTATTTAGGCCTCCCTTGTTTATGAACTCCTTCTTCTTGATGCCTCTTTCCCTTGATTCTTTATTGTGCTAGTTCATTTTCTCACTCTAACCCTCCAATGGAAGGAGGCATTTACACTTTACTCCAAATAACTGTTTTGTCTTCAGCTGCCTACAGACCCTTTTCAGTCTCTAAAGTTGATTTTTCCTTTATTTCAATAGTTCTGTAACACGCGTGTCACCCAGTGAACTCTTGAGAGCCTTTGTTTTCTGCTGCATGTGTGCGTGCGTGCGTGCGTGTGTGTGTGTGTGTGTGTGTGTGTATGTGTGTGTGTGGTAAGCACACGTGCCCGTGTGGGTGGATGCACATGCCTATGCACACCTAGAGGCAAGGGGGACGCTGGGTGTCGTCTTCTATTGTTCTCCGCCTTGTTCCCTTGAGACAGGGTCTTTCACTGAACCTGCCCCTGGCTGTTTTTATGCTAAGCTGGTGACTAGTGAGGCCCAGGGATTCTTCTGTCTAGAGCTTCCAGTATTGGGGTCACAAGCATGTGCAGCCACAACTGTATTTCTATATGGGTGATGCCAGCTTGGGTCTTCATGCTTTTGCAGCCAGTGCTTTTAGCCACCGAGCCATCTCCCCAGCTGGAGAGTCTCTTTTAGAGGCCACTGTTTTCTACTCTATAAGGTAAGAGTTTGGTGGGTGTTTTTTTATAAGCCCTTGATCATTTGGCAACAAGAAATTCCCAGTTCTCACTGCATACTGACTGTCAGGCCCTGATATCAACACTCAGATATCAATTCCTGGCTGATTAGAGCTCCTGGTACATAAGCAAATGTGATCAGACTAATGAATAAAATGAAGAGAAAAGCCCACAAGAGTACTTCTGCAGGGAGACGAGATAAGAAAGGGCCACTGGATGAAGAAGAGGATCATAGGTAACTCATGAGATGCTGGAGGCTGCCCGAGAGAAGAGGAGTTCGCCAAACATGGCACACAGGAGTGTATGAGGGAACAGACAAACAAGAAAACCAAAAACAGCAAGAACTGAGGTGGCGCCATGAGATGACCATGGTTGACTACAGCAGCACCTGGACTTCAGGGCATAAGTGGAAAAAGAATAGAAATGTATATGGTGGAGAGAGAGCCAAACTTCTTATGTAGGACCCTCCTAGACTGGTAAGATACTGAAGACTGTTTGACAGTCTGAGTTTATTTTAAAGTATGGAAGCAGTCTGAAAGGCTGTAGGAGGAACGAGATTGCCAGGACAGGAAGGGTAAGTAGTTCAGGTGAAGGATTAGAGGACTGTGGAAAAGGAGATAAGGACAGGTATCCAACAAAGCCCACTGAGCACCTGTCAGCCAGGACCAAAACTTGACAAGACAAATTCAGATCCATAGGTTGGGTGGAGGTCAGAAAGGAGTTAAGGATCTTGGAGAAGGTTTTATTACACATTTTACAAACTATAGAAATGATCACTGAACATATAGTCTTTTATTAGAATTTTTAAAATAATTTTTAAGGGGCTGGAGCAATGGCTCAGTGGTTAAGAACACTGGCTGTTCTTGCAGAAGACCCAGGTTCCAATCCCAGCACCCACATGGCAGCTAACAACTGTCTGTAACTCCAGTTCCAGGGGATCCAATGGCCTCTTCTGTCCTCCGCAGGCATTGCATGACACGGGTGCATGTACACACATGCAGGCAATGCAGTCATACACATAAAATAAAAATAATAAATAAAATATTTAAATAAGAGTTTTTAATTATTTCAACCCCTTTCAGTCCCCTCCCCAACTCCTCCTATGTTCCCCATACTCCCTCTCCATGTCTTGTCCTTTGGATTATTATTGTTACACACATACATAAAATTCACTGAGTCCATTTAGTGGTTCACGTGTGGACATGTGTTTAGGGCTGACCACTTTGCATCAGGTAACCTCTCAAGGAACTAGTCCCTTTAGGAAACTGATTCTCCCTTTCTTGACATCCATTGATTACCTGTAGCTCTTCATCTAGAGGCAAGTCTTTCTGAAATTTCCCCTGTCCACCTTGGCATGTCAACTGTTATGTCATTACACAGATCTTGTTTAGCTACCATGCTGTGGAGAGTTCATGGGTGCGACTTCCCTATCATGCCCAGAACGCATTGTCTAGCAGCAGGCATCCTGTTCCTCTGGCTCTTACAATCTTGCTGTTCCCTCTTCTGCAATCTTCCCTTAGCATTAGGTGCAGAGATTGCATTGTACATGTGTCAGTTAGGGCTGCTCACCCCACAGTCACATATTCTCTGCATGTTCACCAGTTATGTGGAACTTTACTGCAAAAAGAAACTTCTTTGATGAGCGGTGAGAACTATACTTTTTGGTGAATATAAGGATGCATACTTAGAAACATAGTAAGAAATTAGGTTGGTCTAGGGAAATGATAGAATAGGTTCTTTCTAGGGTATGCGACCTCTCTAGTCATGTGTGTTTAGCTATGTTTACCATGTATGAATTCCCTCCTATCGAGCAGGCCTTAAATCCAATTAGACAGTTATTGATTACCCCCAAGATGAAAGTGCCACTATTGCACCAATAGAGATAATTTGCTGGGCTGGTCATTGCTGTGGTTCATAAGCTTTACAGCTGGGTAGGACCACTGATTACTTTTCTTCCTTGGCAGCTAGGATAGTACATTTTGATACTGTGATAGCTAGTCTTCGGGGAGGAAGCTTCCAGGTCAGTTCCAGCTCAGTGGCTTGGAGAAGGTTTTGACTTGGGACATCTGTGTGAAGTTTGGTTCATTAACTAAAATGTGAATTCAGGAGGAGGAAAAAGATGGATGTTGGTGAGGCAGCAACTTAGTCCAGTTAAGAACATAACAGAATGTGTATTTTTCTAATGACCACCAGAGGAGAGACTGAACTTGAGAGAGAAGACAGTGATGCAAAGGAAAGAGCACTAATGCTGTTTTTAGTCCAGATGCCAAGCCCTGTGCCAGGTGATGCAGGCTGCTGCAGGGTACAACGGAAGTGGACTACGGTGATCTAGGAAAGGCGTTGCCACTCTGGATCCTGGTGGTTTCCTTTACTGGAGAATTATCCCAGGATTCTTGGGGAAAATCATAAAGTCATTATCAATGCAGATGCAGAAGTCATAACACGTTATGTGGTTTGTTTAATCATGAGCTTGGGGTACCACTGTGGTTGATTCATGGTCCTTGAAGCAGTACAGGCACATTTTTCCATAAATTCCAATTTATATTGCACCATTGGTATTTCCCATGAGGTATTGTTAAGATTTCCAAGCCTAGATATTGGCAAATTCACAACTAGCAGTTAGGAACAATAAGAAAGATACGAACACACAGCCTATGGATGGCCTGGGGATGAGAATTTCTTAAATGATCCCAGGGAAAAGAAGAGAGAGAGAGAGAGAGAGAGAGAGAGAGAGAGAGAGAGAGAGACTTTCTCTTTCTTTGTCTCCCTGTATCTCTTTCTCCTACCCTCACTCCTTCCAAAAGAACCTGGCAATTTTAGTGAAGACAAAGATCCAAGCAGGGTATGGTAGCCTTAAGCTCAGGAACAGTTGGAAAAAGAGATGGGGAAGTGGGGACCGGGGAGTTACTTAGAGGAGGTGATATTCATCCTTTAGGCTTTGATGTGGGCAGTGATTAGCCAGACTGAAAGGTAATACAGGGAAAGGGAGGGAAGATGCACTGAGGGACAGGGGCCAGACTGATCCTGACTGAGGAGCTATGCACAGGTGTTCATGCGAGCAGCAAGAGGAATGGACACCACAGGGAGAAGT